TGACTGTCTAATCATGTGACCTTTAGTGACCGTCTCATGTGACCTTTAGTGACTGTCTCATCATGTGACCTTTAGTGACTGTCTCATCATGTGACCTTTAGTGACTGTCTCATGTGACCTTTAGTGACTGTCTCATGTGACCTTTAGTGACCGTCTCATGTGACCTTTAGTGACTGTCTCATGTGACCTTTAGTGACCGTCTCATGTGCCCTTTAGTGACTGCCTCATGTGACCTTTAGTGACCGTCTCATGTGACCTTTAGTGACCGTCTCATGTGACCTTTAGTGACTGTTTCATGTGACCTTTAGTGACTGTCTCATGTGATCTTTAGTGACGGTCTCATGTGACCTTTAGTGACTGTCTCATCATGTGACCTTTAGTGACTGTCTCATCATGTGACCTTTAGTGACTGTCTCATGTGACCTTTAGTGACTGTCTCATGTGACCTTTAGTGACCGTCTCATGTGACCTTTAGTGACTGTCTCATGTGACCTTTAGTGACCGTCTCATGTGCCCTTTAGTGACTGCCTCATGTGACCTTTAGTGACCGTCTCATGTGACCTTTAGTGACCGTCTCATGTGACCTTTAGTGACTGTTTCATGTGACCTTTAGTGACTGTCTCATGTGATCTTTAGTGACGGTCTCATGTGACCTTTAGTGACTGTCTCATCATGTGACCTTTAGTGACCGTCTCATGTGACCTTTAGTGACTGTCTCATGTGACCTTTAGTGACCGTCTCATGTGACCTTTAGTGACCGTCTCATGTGACCTTTAGTGACTGTTTCATGTGACCTTTAGTGACTGTCTCATGTGATCTTTAGTGACGGTCTCATGTGACCTTTAGTGACTGTCTCATCATGTGACCTTTAGTGACTGTCTCATGTGACCTTTAGTGACTGTCTCATGTGACCTTTAGTGACTGTCTCATCATGTGACCTTTAGTGACTGTCTCATGTGACCTTTAGTGACTGTCTCATGTGACCTTTAGTGACTGTCTCATGTGACCTTTAGTGACTGTCTCATGTGACCTTTAGTGACTGTCTCATGATGTGACCTACCCCTCCCCTTACCATTCAAGCTGTTCCAGCGGAAGCAGACATTTTATGCAGGTGTAAGTATCGATACAAAATGTGGTGTGTAAGTATCGATACAAAATGTGGGGTGTGAGTATCGATTTTCTAACTTTAATTATTTGTTATTAATTATAATGGCAAGCGTAGCACTCGCTGGTCTTTGAACAAGTCTCTCAAGGTCATCAGCACATACTGGACCTTCAATGTAGTTTAGTTATAGTCGGTGGATAATGGTGTAGTTTAGTTGTTGGTCCGTGGATGATGTTGTAGTTTAGTTGTTGGTGGCTGATGATGTAGTTTAGCTGTATGTGTGTGGTAGGTGTCTTGTATATCTGTAAGACCGTAAGACAAAGAAATATTGGAATCGTGGGCTAATGAGAAGGGGAGCAACTCTCAATACCAATTTAAATTATTCATAACAAATCTGAATCAATAGCTTCCCTTGTCTGTTACCATGACTACCACTACCCATCTCTGACACTGCCTGTACATTTTTTTTTTTTTTTTAAATCGAAATTTTTCATAACAGCCTTACAAAATAATCTTACATGGAGAGATGTAAGACTAATAACGGGCTTACAAATAATCTTACATGTAAGACTAACCTTCAGCCCCCCCCCCCCCCCTCAAAAGAAACAACAACCCTTCTGATTGGTCAAACCTGACACCCCGCCGGACGGGCCAGGAACCACGGACTGGTCGTCTGCTCTTGTCTGACCTGACCCCAGGATTAAGTTTTCAATAACTCACTCTAATCAATGCGCATGCGTGGAAGTTGCCTGCATAATTGATGGCAATGGCTGCCGGATGTAGAACATTCCGTCAAAGAAAAATTTCCGGAATAACATCAGTGTATCAATCAAAAGACGACACACAAAAACCGGCACGGAAAGCCGGCATAAAATGTACATTAAATATATTGCCGGCAACAAACAAATGTCAATTAACAACTAATCAACAAACCGGTCGGTTAAACACAGAGAACAGGAGCCGGTAACCGCAGACAGCGGGATCCGGCAACCGGCAAGGAATGCCGTCATCGACCGGCCCGTGAATAAACTTTTAACTCTAGGATCGATACTTGTATTATTATTGAGTATCGATCTAAAACCGAGTCGAAACATGCGCGTATTAAGTTAATTGTTACATACCAGACGGTAAGGGGGTAGATGAAGTAGAGTTCATGTATCAGTCTGTCAATTGTTACCCTGTCATTAAGATTACAGACCAAACAGTAAGGGGGCAGATGAAGTAGAGTTCATGTATTTGTGAGTGCATGCCTCAGATCTCGAGAGTGTCGGGTTAGCTAAAGTGCTCGACTACGTCCATAGTTGTCCCGTTGCTTTCCAGAACTGTCCCATTGTTGCCCAGAACTGACTGTCCCATTGCCGTCTATAGCTGTCCCATTGCCGTCCATAGATATCCCATTGCCGTCCATAGATTTCCCATTGCCGTCTATAGATGTCCCATTGCCGTCCATAGATGTCCCATTGCCGTCCATAGATGTCCCATTGCCGTCCATAGATTTCCCATATTGCCGTCCATAGATTTCCCATTGCCGTCCATAGATGTCCCATTGCCGTCTATAGCTGTCCCATTGCCGTCCATAGATGTCCCATTGCCGTCCATAGATTTCCCATTGCCGTCCATAGATGTCCCATTGCCGTCCATAGATGTCCCATTGCCGTCCATAGATGTCCTTAAATGGCAGTGGTGCAATTGCCACCCTGATGTGTGTTATAATTGTGATAATGTATGACGACGTGGGGTAGGGGGGGGGAGGTTACGGTGTATTGTTAAGTATAATTGCCGCTTAATATTTGAACAAGCTTAAATTATACATCAGCACCTTTGAATAGTGAGCTAATTACCAACTAATTGTTGGTGTTGTTCCAAATTGCGTTGATGGATTGTTCGTTCAAAACAAACTTGAAACAAATTTTAACCATGAGAAATGAGTTTAGCGCGAGCTGCTCTGAGAGTTGAGCTAAAGCTGTTCATGTGTAGGTCAGAGCTTAAGTCAGCTGTTGTTGGTGTGGGATGTGTGTGACATGTGGCTGGTGTGTGGTGTGTGTGTCATGTGGTTGGTGTGTGATGTGTGTGTCATGTGGTTGGTGTGTGGTGTGTGTGTCATGTGGTTGGTGTGTGATGTGTGTGTCATGTGGTTGGTGAGTGGTGTGTGTGTCATGTGGTTGGTGTGTGGTGTGTGTGTCATGTGGTTGGTGCGATTGTCATGTGGCTGGTGTGTGTGTTGTATTGATGTGATGTCTGATGCTATCTAGCCACACCTACTTAAAATAAGACGGGGGTGATCTCCCCTAAACTTTCTCGAATATTCTTAGTTTACACCAATGGGGATGGCAACTCTAATGTAATTTGGTACCGTCATGTTTTTGTAATCAATTTTTAAATCATTTTTAAAATAGAATAGAACCGCGTAAAAAAAGAATTGCGCATCAAATGAACAGCAAACAATGTGTGTATAATAGTACAGGACATTATCACTTATTAATAAAGAAAACCTTGATTAATTTTCAACGAGTTAATAAATCATCCAATTTAGTAACATTTACGTCACAATACATTGTCTTCGAGTCTTGACCTACGTGAAAAGTCAATCGATCCGCAGAAGTGTTCGAAATTTTTCTCGCAACTTTCCGACATGACAGAGGAATCAAGTTAAAAATTAATTCTTATGCGTTTTTTTATGCTGAGAAATTAAAAAAAAAAAACGTAAAGTAATACTTCCGGTCACCGAAAATCACTCAACATTTGAAAGAAACTAAAGAATTATATATTTTGCTTGTACGTGAAATTTCGTTTACGTAACTGAAACAGTTATAGGCTTCTGAGAAACGAAAGTAGAATAACTGCCACTTCCGGTTATCGGAAGCCGCTGAAAGTTGATACAGAACTACACATTTTACTCAAGTAATCGCGTTTACAGACACACATACACACAGTAACTTAGACTCTGTGAGGTCTAAAACATCAAGATTAGTAAAAGTCTAGAATTCGATTTTTGCACACACAATACTTTCTCAATGCTTTGTATACGAGAAAGTAAAAACTTTTCCCAAAACAGTTCAAAGAAAAGTTCTTCATGACGTCACATTGATCTCAGAAGTGTTGGTGAACAACATTAGCCCCATTCAAAGACTCGCACCAACAACTTTTTGTTTAAAGTCCTCAACACATCAGACGTGAGGTCAGACGTGAGGTCATACGGGAGGTCATACGGGAGGTGACCAGGTAGTGATCAGGTAGTGATCAGGTAGTGATCAGGTAGTGACCAGGTAGTGACCAGGTAGTGACCAGGTAGTGACCAGGTAGTGACCAGGTATCGACCAGGTAGTGACCAGGTAGTGACCAGGTAGTGACCAGGTAGTGACATCAGCCCATGGTCGGGGCTAGAATATTCTTAGAATGTTCTTAGAATGTTCTTAGAATGCTCTTAGAATGTTCTTAGAATGTTCTTAGAATGTTCTTAGAATGTTCTAAGAATGTTCTTATTTGACTAACACATCAGTCTCACTTTTTCAGCATTTGACCAACTAACATGACGGTAGAGCATGCACGCTTTAAACACCATAAGGGACAAAACCCAACTTGGTACACGAGTTACACATCCCAAGATCGTACATAAGGGACACCATCCTAGATTGTACATGATGAACACAATCTTAAATTATACACAAGGGACACAATTCTAGATTATACATAAGGGACACCTACATTGTATACAAGTAACACATGCCTATTTGTGACTCGAATGAAAATGTATTTAAATGCATGTGAACATAACTCAATTAAAATGTATTTAAATGAATGTGAAAATGTATTTAAATGAATGTGAACATAACTCAATTAAAATGTATTTAAATGAATGTGAAAATTTATTAGAATGAATATAAATATAACTTACCTTTCCTGCACTTTTAGTCCGCCGCTTTTACTCCATGTTTGTGGCCCTTGAGTTGTTGCCCCTGGTTTAGCCGTAAGGAGTTTTCTCCCTGTCCCAGTTGTCCTGTGTGTGAGCCACAAATTGTCGCCCTTTGAGGAACCGTTTCCCGCCAGGTCCCCGCCTCATGTCTGCGCGAGCGTGCCAGGGTGATAGATGCACGCGCTAGAAGATGGTGGGCGGGGCAAGAGGGGTCATGGTATGAGGGGGGTCACTGGGTTGGTGGGGTCATGGTATGAGGGGGGTCACTGGGTTGGTGGGGTCATGGTATGAGGGGGGGGTCACTGGGTTGGTGGGGGTCATGGTATTAGGAGGGGGGTCACTGGGTTGGTGGGGTCATGGTATGAGGGGGGGGGGATCACTGGGTTGGTGGGGGTCATGGTATGAGGGGTTTACCTGGTTGGGTGGGTGGTGGGGGTCATGGTATTAGGAGGGTCACTGACTGGCCCACAAGCCGGCAGTGACTGGCCCACTGACCCACAAGCAATGACTTGTCTGTTGGCCATAACGCTGGCTGCCGGATGACGTAATAGCTGAAACAAGTCGTCTGCTGAAGAAAGCCCCCAGGCCATGCTCACTGATTGGCCAGACGATTTAGTTACAAAACTTTTTGCATTAGCTGTAAACGGTGTTGGCGTGGAACAAATGGATTTCCTCCCCTTCACGGTTATTAAATGGCTTTAAAATTCGCTTTCTATTCGCTGGACGTAAACACACCAATTTTAGCTGACAATTTGTCAGGATTGTCTTGACTGTCCTGACTGTCACGTGGGTTTGTCCGGGCTGTGCTGGTGTAGTGGGGGGGGGGGGGGGGGAACCGTGGGTCACAGAACAGCACTGAGTGGAGCCTGTGGGGGGGGGGGGGGCAGAAATTTGAAATGTAGACGCGGGTGTCGGGTGATAAAAGTTGACATGTGTCTGACGTCACGTGACACGTCACGCCTCAGTAACGACACGTAAACAAACTGGCGAACACGTGCAGGCGTGATGACGTCACACAGCTTCTAGTTGACGCAAAGAGTGGAGAGTGGGGTGGGAAGCTTGGTAACACGATATAATGAGGTTTTTGTATGGGGGTTAGGATAACACACACACACACACTATGCAATATCACACAACAACACACTAGCATGCCCTCACATATCAACGTACACATAACTGCACATACCGGGTGTTAGGACGGACTGACTGAACAGGTGTTGGGACAGACTAACAGGCAGACAGACAGACACAGTGTTTCTTCCAGACTTTTTTCTCCGGGGGGCACTTGATATTTTGGGGGGGGGGGAGCGGTCAAAATTTTCCGGGGGGGGGGGGGGGGGCGGACACTAGTAAAAGTATATTTTTACTATATAAATTCCATCTCGTTCGGGGGGGGGGGGCGGTAGAGATGCCTGGAAGAAACTCTGAGACAGACAGACAGACAGACAGACAGACAGACAGACAGACAGACAGACCAGGTGTTGTGACAGCATGGCACGGTGTAGCCACTGACAGCTGCAGGAAGGAATCGACACGCATGAGTGAGCAGCAATTACTAGACGAATTTTTTACCGTCAGACACAAAACTAGTCGCGGTCCTCACAATGGGGGGGGGGGGGGGGAACACGGTGAGCTGGAGCAAATCCACCAGTTCTAGTCACAATCTTTGCATGGGGGGAAAAAGTCACAGGAAAAAGTCACAGGAAAAAGTCACAGGAAAAAGTCACATAAGGTTCAAAATGCTATCACTTGTCTGATGAGAAACAAAAACGTGTTCACCGTAAAACACAATGTGGATGGACAATGCCGACCGAGAACTAAACACAATAATGTGCCTACATTTCTTGTGTCATTCATTTTTCTACCGGGCATCCAAATAAACATGTAACACAATTTGAAGCTGCTGTGTAGATTATCTGATAGTAATTTTACTTATAAAGAAGATACAAGTCTGATAGTTAGCATAAACCATGTTTTTGGAGATTATAAATAATTTACTAAAAAAACAAAACAACCACATAATAAACATCCACAATGTTAGTGTTCTCAACAATCAAATCAAAATACTACTTCAACTTTTTGTGACTTTATTTTTGTGACTTTATTTCTGCGGCTTTATTTCTGTGAATTTTTTCCAATAAATTTTTTCCTTTGTGACTTTTTTGTGTGCCTTTTCCCGCCCACTGTGCATTAGTGTGTGTGTGTGTGTGTGTGCGCGCGCACAGTGGTGGGTGGGTGGGGGGGGGGGGAGAGGAGAAGACCATATGTTAGTGTGTCGACTATGTTTGTGTGAACTATGACCCCGACTATTTCAGAACCCTTACCTCCCACACACCCTCCCCCATTGTGTGCCGCTGGTGTTAATTTCATCTGGTAAGATTTCAACCAACGTAAGATTTCAACCAACGTAAGATTTCAACCAACGTAAGATTTCAACCAACGTAAGATTTCAACCAACGTAAGATTTCAACCAACACTTTGTGGCTTTTCCCACATGTGTTAGACCGAGTGTGCTGAATGGTGACATTTTGTGTGTCAAATGTGACACGTGTGTCGTTAACTGTGCTAGATGTGTGTTCTAACACGGTAAGTGTGAAGTTTCGATACAATGATTAAAGCTAGACTACACACACACACACAACTTTGTTCACTTGCCACAACAACAGAGATACTGTACAAGTCTACCCCAGTACTATTTATAGAACTTTTTTTTTAAAGGTATCTTTAAGGCTGTGTCACACATAGGACAGGTGAAGTAGAGTTAAACGGCATGTCGGTGCCAGAGCCAGCGACCTTGACCTGACCAGCGCCCACCCACACATTCGGGTCAGCAGCCACCCCCTCCCTCCAGTGTGAGGTCAAACACCTGCCATCGACCATAATTTTCATAGACCATTGTGTCCAGTCAACTAGAGACGAGCACAATTATTAAAACAAGCCGATCCCCCCCCCCCCCCACCAAACAAGCCATCCCCCACAAAATTCCCACTCTCCCTCCCGCCCACGGAGCGAACTAAATGGCGCCCTAATGAAAACTCATTAGAGAAATAAATAACAGGGGAGGTAAACAGCGGGAATCGATGATGGGAATTTCTCACGGGTGATTTCCCTTGTACTAGATAAAGTACAGACAACAGGTGATATAGGTCGGCTCAACAATCACACAATCATTCAGTCACACAATCATTCAGTCGCACAATCATTCAGCCACACAATCATTCAGTCACACCATCATTCAGTCACACCATCATTCAGTCACACAATCATTCAGTCACACAATCATTCAGTCACGCAATCATTCAGTCACACAATCATTCAGTCACAAAATCATTCAGTCGCACAATCATTCAGTCACACAATCATTCAGTCGCACAATCATTCAGTCACACTATCATTCAGTCACACAATCATTCAGTCACACAATCATTCAGTCACACAATCATTCAGTCACACAATCGTTCAGTCACACAATCATTCAGTCACACAATTATTTACACATAGTCATTCAATCATCCATATAGTAATTAAATCATTCAGTCATCCAATTCTTTATCAACGATAATTCACACTATCAATCACACCAATCATTCACACTCACACAACTCACTCACAGTTTACCCTCACAGCCCGCACCTGTTTGACCGCCAGCGGCGTCTCTGTCCAGGTGTGACGTAAATACTGGCCGTGTCATGGGCGTGTCTAGACGGTGAGCGGGGAGGGGACCGGATGTCCCGTTGGTGTCAAGCAATCAATGAGACGACAGAAAGTTTTGTTTGGGTGGGTTTTTTTGGCGGGAATCTGGTCACGTGTTCACGTGTCACCAGACCACCGGGTTGGGGGGGGGGGGGGGCAGGGAGAAAATGTCCAGTTGTTTTTTTAACTGGCTGTAAATGTTGCAGGAGACACGTGACATTTGACCGCCTGGACATAAATCACGTGACCATGGAAGACCGTTCACGAGGGTCGATAGTCGAGTGGGATGTTGTACAGGCCAGAATATAAATAGGCAACACACACACAGAGACTACACACAGACACACACACAGACCACACACACAGACCACACACACAGGCCAGAATATAAACAGACAACACACACACAGAGACTACACACAGACACACACACAGAGCACACACACAGAGTACACACACAGGCCAGAATATAAACAGGCAACACACACACAGAGAGACTACACACGCACACACACACACACACACACAACAACACAGACTATCAGTTTCTTTATACCGCTCCCCTTTCCCCTGAACAAACATATAATTTTTATAGAAAATATACTTTTCCAGTGGACTGACTCGACAAAATTTATGATAAACCTGAAACTGATGAATGCAGGCAACTAGAGTACAACACGAATTACAACATGAACAAGTCTATGAGACCTCAGGTGATGCAGACTAGACCGGCACATTGTGTGAGTACACGACGTGTGAGGTGATAGCTCAGGATACACACCATTCACACCACTCACACCACACCACTCACACCACTCACACCACACCACTGCAGGGTCAGTCTCGTCCAGTTGGTCCAGCGCCAATGACGTCATGCGTGAGATCCATGCGCAGATGAACGGTGAGCATCCAGCAGGTTTCACTCAACACGCGCAGGTTCTGACGTCACGCCGCGGCCACCAATCAACGAGCCAACCAGCGGCAGGTCTCACCCTGGTCTTGTTCTAACCATGAGACCGAGACTAAACACACACACACACACACACACACACACACACACACACACACACACACTCTCCGCTTCAATAGACCCCCCCCACGTGACGTCAGCAAATCTCCGAGGAAAAGACCCGACAATTACCAGACATTAACAACTGACCTATATCATAACTAAACAACACCACGTGATCAACACGGGAACTGCTCACACTCTCGTCGGTGCCACAACTCAGACGTGTGACATTCTGTGCCGTGTGGAGCCTGACATTCTGTGACGTGTGTAGCTGACATTCTGTGACGTGTGGAGCTGACATTCTGTGACGTGTGGAGCTGACATTCTGTGACGTGTGTAGCTGACATTCTGTGACGTGTGGAGCCTGACATTCTGTGACGTGTGTAGCCTGACGTGACACTACCTGAA